GCCTTGCAGTGATTTGGGCAAGCTTGCCCCAACTCGTACTTCAAAGATGATGCACCACCCCTGGATCGGCCTTCTCGCCCCCCGCCATTTCCAGACAGCGCTCAACCAACCCCCTCACAGGACTCCAGTCGGGTGGCTTGGGGCGAGGGCCGATCGGGGGGGACATCGAAAGAGAAGGCGCAACGGTGTACACTAGATGCTGTACCCTGAAACCCTGACTTGCAATGGCTAGTTGCACGGGTCTATGGGGTCTGATCGACCAACCCGTGTCAAGCTTAACATGTTTATATGCGCGCATACACGGGTCGTTCAAACCAAAGAAATCGATGATCGAACTACCTGTCCCACCTCGGCACGCGTACAACTTAGTGGATACTAGCGTGAGACCCGCAAAGCTACAGAAACCTGAATCCTCAACTTCATCTGGAGACATGTTCCGGTCGCCGCCCACTATACACGGGCCTTCAACGCTCTCCACAACTGCACCTGCTGCTGCCATTAGCTTTGCATTCTTGCCCTGAGGGCCTATGCTTGGGTACAGGTACATATTAAGTAACAGCTACTCCAGCACTGGGCACATTACCGGCTGACGGACAGGAGGGCAACGCCATCATGCTCCAGCCTCGCACTTGCGCCCAACTCTGAATGGCTTCAACCTGGTCAGCCACATGACCGAAGTCTTGCACAATCACTACTAATGATCGGGTCGCCTTGAGACGTTTCTTGAGTGCGCCCTTGCCTCCGCTACAATTAAAGTTTTCAATCACATGTTCACCGCTGTCTTTGCCCGTCACAGGAGGTGCTGGTGGAAACGAATGTGGCCTGAAACCTGTGACACGTGGCAGCAGACAACCGTTATCATCATACTTCTTGCACAGATGAGCACGAGCTCCAGCACCTGGACGCGCGCGCGCCGCATCAGCGCCCTCAGAAGTCGGACTAACAGGGGGGGGTGCCACCTGCACTCTCACCCTTGCCGCCAGGAGGAAAGACCGCACCTTCAGCTGCCACACCTCGTTCTGGCCGCTCGCGATCCCCAGCAGCACCCTCAGGAGTCGGACTTACAGGGGAGGCGCCGCCTGCACGCTCACCCTTGCCGCCAAGATGTAGAGCCTCACCTTCAGCTGCCACATATTTGGTCCTCGAGGTTTGAAGGGGGTGTGCGTGACCTCCTATCCCCTCCAATCTGGTCCGCCCATCATGCGCAGCGAGATGCTCGTCACCCATGCCTCGCTCTCTTCGCAGCGTAGAGCTCCTCCAGCTTGGCAGTGAAGTCCTCGAAACTCGAGCAGCTGGACCAGAGGCTAAGCCGCTCCTCGCTGGACAACTCGCTGAGCTCATTGTTACGTTTGGCTCGCCCTGCCTCTGCGCCACCAGCTCCTGTTGCTGCAGTACCATTGTCAGAGGTTGCTCCACCGCCTGTACCAGCCCTTGCATCATCATCACCAGCTGAATCACCCATGCAGTCATCAGGGGCAGTCTCCTTCGGCATGACGCGGATGTGAGCCTGCAGCTTCTCCCAGAGCGGACTTGCCAGGAAGTCCTCAGCCTCAGGGTTCTCCTTCTTGAAGTTGTCGATGTCGTGCAGCAGCACTGAGCCAGGGACGGATTGCGTTCTCCATCGGCATTCTCCTCTTTCGGCGACACCAGTGCAGCCGTCCTGTCAAACTCCGCCTGCAAGACAGCCAGCTGCACCTTCTTCGCCTCCAACGTCTGCTCGCGCTCCTCGATCGAAACGCGTAGCTTCTCATACTGATCCATCTTGTCGGCCAAATCCTTCGACATCGTTGCGATCGCAGCCTTCGCTTTGCTGAGATCCTGTGCAGCACGACGGTGTGCTGTCTGAGGTGGCCGCATCTGCTTCTGCTGTGTGCGCAGCGTCGAGAGCTTGGTCTCCATGCTGCACCGTATGTCCCTGAACTCCTCATGCGCTCCCATCGTCTTGATAGAGGCCTCCAGCTCTTGGATTTGCACGGCAACTTTATCTCGTCGCCCTTCATCAGTGTCTGGTTCAGCCTCAGCGGTTTTGCTCGCCCGATCCTGTGCCTCACGCTGCCACGGAGGAGTCGGAGGGGGTTCCGAAGTAGACGTGGTACTCTTGGTGAGCGATGCCATGAGGGAGTCCAGCTTCTTCTCCATCGCACTGAGCTTATCTCCTTTGCCACCGCCTTTATCTTTGGGTTGAACACGTCCTTTTCCTTTTCCATTGCCTTTGCCCCCATTCCTCTCCAGCTGCTGCATGGCAACCTTGTGGGCAGTGAAAGCTCGCGCTCGAATATGTGCAGGTGCCGATCGCCCGCACTCACACTTGATCCTGGACGCCCAATTATGCAGGAGGGTGCATGAGCCACACGCCCACTCTGGCTTCCTCGGGCCAAACAAGACATCCCAGTCCTTGTCATCGAGGGCTGGGGCCATCCGCTGGCCTCTCTTCACACACGTATGCCAAAACGGCTTGCTCGCTCCAGCAGGAGCTCACTGAAAGCTGGCCGAGGCAGCCAGGCTTCTGGAAGGGGCTGCCCTTCCACCTCGGCCTCGAGCCTCGGGAGTCGGGACGGGAGGTAAGCTCCGTCTTGAGCCAAAATGGCTACGGGGAGGAGGAGGAGGAGGAGGAGGAGGAGGAGGAGGAGGAGGAGGAGGAGGAGGAGGAGGAGCGAGGAGGATGAGGAGGGTTTCTGCAGGAGTGGGAGGATCGAGGAGGATCGAGGAGGAGGAGGAGGAGGAGGAGAAGGATCGAGGACGAGGAGCAGGAGGAGGGGGAGGATCCCCAGACCTCTCCCGAGGCAAATCCGGCGGCGGCGACGAGGGACTCCCAGGAGGTCGAAACAGGGGAAGACAGGCGGCAAAGTAGCGGTATGGGCACCTGTCCCTCCCCTGATCGAGGAGATCTTTCCCGTGTTGGCCCACAGCGCTTGCAGCGAACACGAGGCAACCAGGTCCGGAAGGAAACGAGTGCTGGGCGCATGCGGCCTCCCCTGCAGGACAAGCGCCTCCCCCTACGCAGCCTTCGGACCATCCTGAGGCCCACGGAGGGCCCCGGGAGGCCAAACGCGAGTGTGGCTTCATACGAAGCCAGAAGTCATCATAAAAATGCATGGCTTCATACGAAGCCATGAATTCATGCGAACCCCACGCGAGAATCTTTCATCAGGGGCGTCCAGAAAAGGAGTGTCCACGAGGGGAGTTCGCAAATTCTGACCCGAGGCACGTGCGCGGGGCCCACGGGGGGGCCAGGGGACGCATCGAAAGCAGATCTCATGGCCCGCGCCATGAGATCCCCCCCTAGCCATCACCCACCTCTTGGACGCCCCCGAACTTTGCGCGATCCCCACGCGACAGCCTCCGATTCTAACAACCCCGAACCTGTCGGGCAGAGAACTCGGGACCCGCTTTCCCCTCACGGCGCGGCGGACGGGCGGGGGCGGAAAACAGCCAACATCGACTCTGGCGATTGGATGGGATCGGAACGTGCATCGAATCTCGGTGGTTCAAAGATTCACTGAGGGGAAGGCCCCGTTGGCAGAAACGTGTTTGAAAATTCAGAACTATGCCAGAACAACATTCTTGGGACTCGGACGCCGCGAACCACTCGTGCCAGAAGGCCATTTCTGGGACTTAGACGCCGCGAATCAACGTGACTGTGCGACGCTGTGCCAAAACCCACCTTCTGGGACGTCAACCATAAGAACCCCAGAAACTCCTGCAAACTCTGGAGACGAATGTGCGCGGCGCTAAAGCGATAACCAAATTTTGAAAACGGCCCGCTCTCAATCCGAGAAACTTCTGCAAACTTGTAAAGGAGGAGGTGCCTCAAACACTGGACAGCTCGCCGTTTGGCCCCCCGCCAGCCCCAAGCCAAGGAGCAATTATACGGGCGCAGCAACGCACTGCATGCGTAGCATTCGGCTGGGCCAGGCAGGACAAGACCCAACACTACATCGCGTGGCGCGTGGATGCCAGCACCGACCACGACTCCTCTCAGGCCCTACCTCCGATCCCCCCCTTTCGCCACCTCCTCTTCGTCCTCGTCCTCCGTCATCCCTCTCACCCATGCCTCTCCCCGTCGTCCAACTCCTCCGGATCTTCCTTCCGCCGCCTCCTCCCTCTCCTACTCCCTTCTCGTCTTCCGCCTTATCCGCCCTCCTCGTCGTCCACCTCCTCCTCCTCATTGTCCGACGCCTTTCCCCTTTTCCTCCTCTTCCTCCTCCCCCTCCCCACCAACCTCCCTCCCCCCCTCACAACCAGCCGTAAAACTGCCAGCGAAATATCCTCGTCGCCCCTGTCTAAAAACTGCCAGCTATATATCCTCACCCCCTGGCCTAAAACTGCCTGCGAAATATCCTCACCCCCTGCCTTAAAACTGCCAGCGAAATATCCTTACCGCCACTGGCCTAAAACTGCGAGCTAAATATCCTCACCCCTTGGACTGAAAACTGCCAGCGAAAGCTCCTCAACCCCGGGCCTTCAAATTGCCAGCGAAATATCCGTACCGCCCCTGGCCGAAAACTGAGAGCAAAATATCCTCACCCCCTGGACAAAAAACAGCCAGCGAAAGATCCTCAACCCCGGGCTTTAAACTGCCACCGAAATATCCTCACCTCTGGCAATAAAACTGCCATATGATGGCTTTAGTGATTCAGTTGTCGGTTCAATCAGTCAGTCAGTCAGTCAACCAGTCTGTCAGCCTACTTCCGGGCAGTCACATTACGGGCTGCGCCCGTGAAAACAAAACAAATCCACCCTTGGATCCCTTGCCATCCTGAGGCCCCCATCCCTCAGGAGCCCATCTCTGAACCACCCAGAACCGGATCGCATCGGCACGGAGAGCTGGAATCGCACTGAGCCGAAGACGCCAGGCTGCACAACGGCGCCCATCATCGGGGCGCATCGGGTCGCCCGAGAGTCAGGCCTGCATCGAGTCGGACCAGCCGTTAGCCGACATCAAATCGGAGCGATCGGACCGCAGTGGCCCGTGGGGGGGCGGGCGCGGCGGCTGGGTCCCTGCCCGTTCAGCTGGGAGACGAGCTGCAGCTCCGCCTCGGTGGGCTCACGGACCTCAGGGGAAGGGGGGGGGCGGCTGCCTCTGAGTATCGTTTATCCGACCCCCATCTCCAGCGGCGTGGCCTGGGCCCCACTGGGCGATTTGCCCCCCTAGATTGGGATATAGGTCGTGCCCTTTGGGTTTCGCGGGGTGTATCCCCAACCGAGGTGGTAATTTGGTCGGGATCTCGAAAGGGATGGAGATGGGGATGGGGATCGGCTGACCGATGCCGACCCTCCTCGACCTCCGCGGACGAAGAGCTGGGCGGCGAGCGAGGGGCGGGCAGGCAAGGGGGAGGTGCGAGACGGATCCGGCCGTGACGACGAGAGCGCCCCGGGACGATCAAGAACCTCCAGGAGGCGCACCTCGAGCTTCGAGCCTCTGGGCCGATCCCCCTCTGAAACTGAAACTGAAATGGGGCGGAAAACTGCCCGAGTACTGATATGCTACACAGCACGCTTCTAGCACGCCAAGACTGGTAACTACGCCTCACTCACACGCATCACTGCGGAGCGAAGACCACGGGCGATGAGGAGGAAGAGCACCGATGGCCGAGAACGGAGAGGAGAACGAAGAGCACGGAGCATCGAGGGTGATCGAGGGGAGGGGGGATCGAAGGTGGGGGGGGGGGAAGAGGCGGATGCGAACGGAATCGACGCGGGGAAGGAAGTGGACGGGCGGAAAAAAGGAGGATGGTGGAGCCGGGGGGGGATGAACGTAAGAAACATGCATAACAGGATAATGAAGAGGTATAATGAAAAGGAGAGAAAAGCGGGGGGCAGAGGGGCGGGGAGGGGGAAATGATACCGACAAGAGGGTGAACGGGGAATGCAAGGGGATAGGGGGCGATGGGGTGGAGGTTGAGGTGAAGGGGAAAACGAAGGAGTTGAGGGATAGGACAATTATGAGGAACACGAATAAGAGGACGACGATTTGGCAGAAACATGTGCTCTACCGGCATAGAGGTCGTATTCTGGGAGAGGAAGATGAGGACATCGAGGATACAGAAGCAGAAGGATATTCAACAAACAACTGTGAAACACGTCCAAGAGAACAACAAGCATAACCTTACGGAATCCCTATCTGGCCGTGTCCCCCGCGAAGCAATGATTACCATTAGAAGTTCCCCCCCCCTCCTTCATCTGTTACAGCCCCCTCTTTTGTGTTCTCATCTGCGTGTCTTGCTCATCCTCTTTGCCCCCCCCCCCCCCCCGGCGACCCCCGCTCCCCCCACCTGCTCCCCACTTCCCAAAGTGGCTCCTCCGTGCTGCTGCCGCCGACGGCGCTGCTGCCGCACCTCTTCCCACTGTCCGCCCGGTACTCCTGCTCCCGAACCTCCTCTGCTCCTCTCTGCGTTCCTCCGCGACCCACCCCGTTTCTACCTCTTCCCCATTCCCCCCTGCTCGTCCTGCCACCAGCGGCACGCGACCAAGCCGCGACCCCGTGCAAGATCAGGGCGGCTTGGCCCCGGGCGGCCCGAGTTGCCACCAGGTCCAGGGGCAGCATGACAGCAGGCCTCGGCGCAGGGGTGAACCGGGCTGGCCGAGGACCGGCGGGGAGGGGGGAAGGATGCAGGGAGAGAGAGCTCCCTAAGGGTTCGATGGCTGCCTGCCAGTGGACTGGCGGGGCTCAGGCCAGAAGCACCGATGACCTTCCACGCCGCTGGGTCTTCAAGGAAACCTGCAGCAAAACCCGCGAACGATCCGACGCGCATCGAGAGGCAACAGAAGTCGTGGAACCCTTACCGAATAGAGGGAGGCGACGCTAGACCCGCGCGAGTCGAATTCATGCGGTGGGCGAAACCACTCGCCGAAGGCGACGGCTTCGTTCGCGGACGGACTGTCCGGCCGCTTCGGAGCTCCTCCTCCCGGGGGGTCCTGACTTCTGTTCGGCGGTGGACAAACCTCCCTTTAGTGAACCACCTTTCAGTGAAAACGGCCTAGACCTGGAACCGACGGACCTGGACCCGCAAAAATGACGGCCGCGACGCCCTCTCGCCAATCGAAAACGGCCAATTCGCTAATCGACGTGTCAGGGTAGGAGGTCCATCAACCTCCGACTGTTGGAAGGATCAGAGAGCCGCGGGGTGGGGTGAGGGCACGAGGCAGGAGCGGGAGGAGGCCAGACTGAAAAAGGAAGAGAGGGGGAGAGACAGAGAGAGAGAGAGAGAGAGAAAGAGAAAGAAAGAGAGAGAAAGAGCGCGTTTCTTCATTTTTCGGCGATCATGGGCATCATAAGGAGGGGTGAGGGGCCAGGGGGGGTATAATGTAACGCCTCCCCCCCGCCGTGCGCACGGCGACAGTGCCCGGAGCGCACTGGGGGGGGAGGGGGCGTCACGTTATGGAGGGAGGAGGGGGGGCTGGGGGCTATAATGCATGCCCATGATGCCCCAAGCAGCATCAAGAAGCACGCTCAAGAAGAGAGACTACCACACCGAGTTCGCACGCACCGCGTGCGGTCGGCAGGGCTGCCGCTGCCCAGCTCGGCTCTGCGTTCCTCCACGGGCCAGGATCACAACCACTCCAACACCGGCGGCGACGATGGGGGCGAATAGCCCAGGGGCGGGCGTTACACGTGTTCGCCCGGGAGCCTTGTCGAAGACATAGATCAGCGGCACCCCTGGATACATGGGCTATTTGCCCCTACCGTCGCCTCCGAGAGAGGGGGAGAGACAAAGAGAGAGAGAGAGATAGAGAGAGAGAGAGAGAGAGCGAGAGAGAAAAGAAAAGGGAAAGAGAAGGAGAGAAAGGGAGGGACTGCCGCGCCGAGTTCGCACGAACCGCGTGCCCGCTTGCGGCCGGCGGGGCTGCCACTGCCCCGCTCGGCTCTGCGTTCCTCCACGGGCCAGGAGCAAAGCCACTCCAGCAGGAAGCCGCTGCGCTCGCCCTGGGGGGCCACGCGCGAACCCTGCCCCTGCCCGCCCCCCCTTCCCGATTTCTGAGGGGGAGGGTGGCTAACGGCGAAGGCAGTCTGACGTTGTCGAACGATGTGGCCAACCGGGCTGGAGGCACTGGGCTTCGGGGCTCTGCGCGGGGAACGACCAGGGCCCTTGGCAGGGTTCCCGGGGCGGCAGCCGACGTCGGGGCAGCTGGGGACTTGGTGCTCAACAGGGCTTGGGGCCGCATGTTGTTAGCCGTTCTCTCCTGCCCTGGCGCGGGGGAGGGGTCTGGGAAATATAATGCACCTTGCGTTCGGGAACTGCGATCTCGAGCGCTGAATCCAAGAATACGCTCGATCTTGCAGTCCTCCATTTCGCACAGCTTCGCGCGAAATTGCAAAGTCCTCGCGCTCTAAGTTGCAGAGTCTTAGCGCTCGGGAGACAAGGATATATTCACATGTATAAACAAATATAAACACACATGCTCGGCGCACCTTTCGCTCGGATCGTGGCCCCACGGGGGCCCCGATCGATCAGTTCCAGGTCATCCGCAACCATTTCGGCTCGAACAGTCGCCCGTGGTTGCTGGAGTCTTACGCATTCGATCATGGCTCCCTCGCCACGCACCTTGGCTTTTGAAAACCGCCGGAAGAACGCCGAAAACTGCCTGCGGGCGCACGCCCCGCCGCGGGCGTTGGGGCCCGACACTATCTTCAGCGGTCCTCGGCGGTATTCGGCGGTCTTTCGGCGGTCCTCTGCAGTTTTCGGCAATCTTCGGAGGTTTTCGGCGGTCTTCGGCGGTCTGGCCGGCGGCACGGCACGGTCTCCGGCGGTCATCAGTGCAAAAGCATAACATTTCACTCTGACAAAACATCCATAATCAAACACGTAAGGAGCCCTCCTCGGGGGAGGCGGCGGTGCTTCTGCGCGCCAGGCGCTGGCGCTGGCGGCGGCGGCAGCGGAGGCTTGTTGCGCAGGGCCGCCGATGGGCGCAGCAGCAGAGGCCCCACCTCCTGCGGCAGGCTCCGCGGCCGCCACCTCCTCCCGTCCGGCCCCGCTGGGCGAGGCGTTCAGCCCCGCTGGAGGCAGACGAGTGGCCTGGAGGGCGGCGGCGGCGGCAAGATGGTGGGAGGGATGGGCCGATTTTCCACAACCACTGCCGTGTGTAGTAGGAGGAGGAAGAGGAGGAGGATGAGGAGGAGGAGGAGAAGGAGGACCTGTCCACCCTCCCTTCTCCCCCATCCTGCATGTGGTAGCGATGGTGGAAAATTGTTCCATCAGGGAGGGGGCCCGCTGGACAACGCGGCCCCCGCCTGAGGATCGCACGATCTCGCTGCAGCTTGCGGGCCAGAGAGACGCGCCCTGCAAATGGCCGCTGAGGCGGCTGCACGGTTTCCCCCAGGGCCGTAGGCGACGCGAGCAGGAGAAGAAGGAGGTGGAGGAGGGGGAGGGGGAGGCAAAGATGGAGGGGGAGGAGGAGGAGGAGGAGGAGGAGGAGGAGGAGGAGGAGGAGGAGGAGGAGCACAAGGGAGGAGGAGTAGGAGGAGTAGGAGTAGAAGTAGGAGGAGAAGGAGGAGGAGGAGGGCGGATGGGTCGCCTAAGCCCTTCGGAGAACCCCTCCAAAGGCGGCGCGGCTCCACGACGGGAGATCACTGTCTCGGGAGCGTCCACTGGCGCGGCCCCGAGCCTTTTCGGGGCCTCGCTCGTCCGAGACCCTCGTCGATGTACCAGTCAGGGAGGTGAGCTTCTCGAGCGGCTCAGACGCCTCGTGGGGCGGCTCGGTGATGATGAACGTTGTTACGTCGGGTCGACCAGCGACTGCACCTGTTACATAGTTGAAACCACCAATTTAGAGGGAGGGACTCGATCTGACTGTGACAAGCGGGGCGAGGGCAGAGGGCTGCCACTCTATCCTGAGGAGTGGGCTGCAGTCGGACCCGCGTTGGAGGTCGGAGGGGGGCTGGTCTTACCCTTCTGGTGAGGCTGGAACCCGCGACAAACTCGTGCCAGGACATAGGATATCCGGTTGGAACACAGAGGAGGTCTTGGGAGCCTGGCCCGATGCCGAGGCGGCTCGCTTTGAGCCGATCACAAACGATCAAGAACTTATTTTCTGCCTGGGTATTGCAGCCGACGCCCGTGGTTTCGCGATTCTGACTTAGTGGCGTTACAGCTTAATTCATATGTGCACGTATGTAAGTGATACGAATGTGATACGAGATGCTATCATACAAATGCAAGGTGATGTTCAGATATACAGTGCTTGTGGTATGATATGCTATGCTGCGGTGCTGCGCCATCTGACACACGATGGCGTTGCAATGCTGTGGTATGAGAGCTGGGCAGTGGTGATGATGATGATAATGATACTGATACGGGTGATGATGTTGATGATGATGCTGCTGATGACGTTGATGATGGAAACGGTGGTGATGATGATGACGATAATGGTAATAATGATACTTGTCATGATGACGACTAGCAGAGCAGCAGGGGGGGAGGGTCTGGCGTGAGGAGGCAAAGGCCAGCGACCCCGTCCTGGCGCCTCAACACCAGGAGCTGAACTGGCCGCCACCCCCGCCGCCTCTCGACGGGCCCCGCCGGACGTGCCTGGATCTCTCAAGGCTGGATCCCCGTCTGCGTTCGATTCTTCCACCGCGGTCGCCTCTGCGCCCTGCTGGCTGTGTGTGCTGCGCCGGGAGCTCGCGAGGCAGGGCCCCGCCTGACGCGCCTGGAGCCCTCGATGCCGGACCCCGTCTGCTTTTCTGTCTTCAGCCGCAGTCGTCTCTGTTAGACGAGCGCGCTCCACTACTAACCACTCGCAAAGTAGCTACTCGCAAATGGCCTGGGTCCGCATTGGGGGATCTACGATAAACTACATCAAAGCAGACATGTGCTTTCGAGACGTCTGCGAGTAGGTACTTTGCGAGTAGTGGAACGCGCGTGGCGATCCGTGCGCTGCTAACAGCTGTCTTTGCTGCGCCCGGGGCTCTCGAGGCCGGGCCCCGCCCGATGAGCCTGGAGCTCCAGAGGCTGGACCCCGTCTGCTTTCCCTTCTTCGGCCGCAGCCGCCTCTGCATGCGCACTGCTAGCAGGTGTCTTTGCTTGGAGGGCAGAAAACCCATTCCCATAACGATCACCCCGACAGGCGATGCTGTTGAGCGAACGCACCCTCAAAACGAATCGAACAGGGCAGGGCTGTGTCGTAAACGCCCAGGGCCGTTTCGTAAACTCCAATTGTCGGGTCTGGATGTTTTGTCCTTCCTTGATTGCTGCGCCTCCGCCTCACCTTTCTCCTCTTTCAAGTGTGCTGGTCTGTGCCAATCTTCGTTGCGGTGTGGCATGCGCTTTAACACGATGTACCCTCTTGGCTGGTTGTCCTCTCCGGAGAATTGCCGCGCGACGCCGCGGTGCCGTGGAAGCCAGTGTGCAAACCTGCTTGCGCAGTGGGATCCCTCGATTTTTCCCTATTTGCAGAAATGTCTGCTTTTCAGAAGCTCTGCGTGGCGACGTCCCTGCTGACACGCAGGCCCTGATTCCTTGCTGATTCAACTCAAGACGGGGCGGGACAGTCTGGAAGTTGTCGAGTTGTCTTAAAAGAACTTCATAAGAAGGAGGGGGAGAGAGAGAGAGAGAGAGATAGAGAAAGAGGGATAGAGACAGAGAAAGAGAGACAGAGAAAGAGAGAGAGAGAGAGAGAATGAAAGAGAGAGAGAGAGAGAGAAAACCAACAAAAAGAACAGCAACGAAGAGACGGTACAGCCGACAACATTGCGGCACCTCGACGTAGCCCCCAACGCACGGGACGCCCACGAGGCGGCACGGGCGGCAACACGTGGCAACCTCAGGATACCCCCTGAGCGCGGGGCGCTCACGAGGCGCCCACGAGGCGACACGGTCGCAACGTGGCGAAGCCGGAAACACCAACCACCTACTTGAACGAAGGCTTGTAGGAACCCCATAGAGGCAAGCATCGGTTGAGGAACACTGGTGCTGGACCGATGTCGACGCGCTCGCGGAGACGCACGCGTGTGGCCCGCATTGTTTTGCTGACAAAGCTGGCGGGTGCGCGATGGCGGTTGGTTGTGTTCGACATGCGCGCGCAAGTGGCCTGCATATTATCATTTAACATAACGGCCAAATGTTGATGGTTGCCCTATGGATTCAGCCAGCGCGCGCACGCACTGAAATCTGATAACGTGTTGCTGCAACAAAAGCTTGCGCTGTTCCTCCAACTGCCTGCGGCGAACCCACCAACCGTGCCTGTGCAACAACTTAGAAAGAAGGTTGGCCTCTTAGAGCCGTTAGGGGTGGCTTTGGTGGTCTGTTGGGGGGCTCTTGGAGCCCTCTTGGGGGCATCTCGGGGGCCTCCTAG